TTCAAAATTTCCAAGTATGTCTCATATCTACTCGAATTTGGCACTTATTTGACCCATAATTTAATTTCTGGGGCTGTACTGGTGTACAGGGTGTCCACAGTTATAGGTTCAAATAACAATAAGTCCTATTAGGGATTTTTTTAGAACAAATCTGATAGCAGATTCTTGTTTAGAATGGTCTAAAACCCAAATGTACTGATTTTTGTTCCGATTTGATACAGGGTGATCACAACAAATTTTCAAAATTTAATGGACCAAACCGGAAAAATTTCATATTTTGAGGCCTTGAGAACAACAAAACTTGATACAACATAGTTTTAGAACATCCTTAACTAAAATTTGTATTGACCTTGCCTCAAAATATAACATTTTTGCGGTTTGATTCAGTAAATTGTGAAAAATTGTTGTCATCACCCTGTATCGTATTGAAACAAAAATTAGTACATTTGGGTTTTAGACCATTCTAAACAAGAATCTGCTATCAGATTTTTTCTAAAAAAAATCCCAAATAATACTTATTGAAATTTGAGTCTATAAATGTGGACACCCTGTACACTAGTACAGCCGCAGAAATGAAATTATGAGCCAAAAGAGTGCCAAATTCGAGTAGATATAAGACAAAAAGAAAATGAATTGAATCGGTTGAAAAATAAAAATTTTAGAAGGGTGGCTAGTCCTTAAGCGGGACACACTGTAGATTGATGACGTCATATTTGATGACTATACTAAACTACATTTAAAAAATTTGGCTTTAATACTTTTAAAGAAAGTCTTCCAGTGTCCTTCTCAAGCCTCAACACGTTTCGAATCTTTTGCATCTTTGAAGACTTTATAGGTTCTATACGACTGCATACTTAGAAGAGGTTTTAAATCCTTCAATCCGTAAGTTGTCATTCTAAACTCTAGAAAACTGGGCCTTCAAAAGCTAAAGTCTTTACAGTCTTTAGTTTTATATCACCTTGAAACACCATTTTTTAATGTTTCTTAGTCTCTGTGCCTTTGTTATACGTTAGTAAATTATGTTCCAATAAATCAAGAATCAGCTTTAATCAAAATTTGGACTATTGCCGGCTCTTGATTCGCTGTACATTTTTTGTAGAAGGAATCAGGAACCCAGTAATAATCAAAATTACCTTTCTGATCAGCTTTATGAAAATTCTCGTGAAAATCTATGATGATAAAATGATCAAGTGCCGGTGACAATCAACATTTTGATTATTTTCTGCTCTTGATTGCCAACCCGTAATCATCAAAATGTTGGCTTTTACCAGCTGTTGATTTACCAGTACTTAATATTCAAAAGTAATTGTTGGATTGTCTTTATAAAAATGTTGATATTTATTTTGTTTGGGCTATTGATTGTTTTCAGAAAAATTGTCTACCGAATCAAGAGCCGTTAATAATCAAAATATGGATTATTACCGGCGCTTGATTCGCTGTACATTATTTCATCAAATAGGTAGATATGTACATTCAACTTCAAGTTTATCACCAGTTATCTGTTGTCATCCTTAGTTATCCCTGGTTATCCCTTAACTACCTGTTGGAATATATAGTTATCCCCCGGTTATGATTTGGTTATCCCCAATTATAATTTGGCTATTCCCCTGGCCAGGGCCGGATTAAGGGAGGGGGGGGGCTTTGGGGGCTAAAGCCCCGGGCCCCGAAATGAGGGGGGCCCCAAAACACCACCTCACACGGGAAGAAATCATACATATAATTTTACAATTTCGATTTCGCCATCTATTATCTATCAATTATATCAAACACAACACTACCCTATAATATTATTATTGAGTAGCTGGTATAATTATTGATAGATGGCGCACTATCCGCATAAAAGCTTCAGTGACTCTATAACCACAGTGGCGACAATTGCTGTCTTATTTTTGATTGGTTCTAAAATCCCATATATTTATATTGAAAACGCCGCCATCTTGTTCCCAACCTCTTTTTAATTTTAAATATGAATATATGGGATTTAGATGAACATCCATCATAAATCATGAAAAACAACGTATTTGATGGACCTAATAATGGACATCCAATAAGTCGATTTCAATTTTTTATGATAGATGTCCATTTAAATCCTAATATTAATATTTAAAAGTAACAAAAGGTTGGGAACAAGATGGCGGCGGACCTCTATTGTCGCCACTATATGTAAAGGTTTATTTAGCCACTGTAATAAAAGCTACACCCACTACCTACACGCCGAGCCGGCAGACGTTGGCGGGCCGCACATGGCAGTTCGGCAAATCACTTTCGTCCCGTTGCCGGACCAGCCAGTTTGTGTTTGTTTGGCAGTGACTTTATACAAGACAGTGGCGACAATAGGAACCTTGATAGGGCCCACCTGCCATGTTTAGTCAAAACAAAATTGCATAAAACAAATGATAAAAACAAATTCCTTTTGTCAAAACATGACGGATGAACTACGTAATTCTGAGAACCAATTAAAAATGAGACAACCCACTATCGCCACCTTTCGCCACTGCCTTGTATAAAGTCACTGTAATAAATGCACCTGCAAGGTAAAGTTTTATTTGACTGACGTTTGAATTTATTTCAGGGACCTAGGGGCCCCTTTTATGAAAATAGCCCCGGGCCCCAAAAGACCTTAATCCGACCCTGCCCCTGGCCATGTACAGAAATTATTCTCAATAGTAATATAACAAGTGCCATGGAAATTATTGATAATTTTTGGGAAATTTGCCCGAATGCATTTTTAGTTGAAAAAGAGCACTCGTGCACGTAGTGCACGAGTGCCTTTTTCAGTTAAAAACGCATGAGTGCGAATTTGTCGAAAATTATAAATATATTTCCATTGCACGAGTTGTATTTAATGAGAGAATTTCATAAATCAAAAAATTAACCACCAGTTACTATGCAATTATCTGATAATTTGCACTAGTGCAAATTATCGCGTAATTCCAATCTGATTGGTTCAAATCAACAATCAAAACATGTCAGTTTATTGTTGGAATACCAGTTTTGACAGATGTATGAAATTCTCACTGAAATCCCTTTCGCTTTCATCTAATGAACATCAGGACTTTAAAGTAAAATTTCATCTTGACTGCTCTTAGAAAAGTTACCCATTGATTCCAGAGTCAATAATATTGGTGTAACAATCAAAATTTGGTATCAGCAACTTTTGATTGCCTCTAGAAAAATATATTGGTGATTCAAGTGCCGCTAATGATCAACATTTGATCCATTCTTGGCTCTTGAAGTTCCTATAAAAGTTTTCCAAGGATTTAGAGCCGAGGAAAGTCTAAATTTTGAATAATTACCGGCTCTTGATTATAAATGGATCATTTTTTTAGATAAAGTTGGTTCAATTTTTGATTATTACCGGCTCTTGAATCGCTGGAAAACTTTCCTGAAAATTTTTCAAAAGCTAAAGGGGATTTTGCTGAAGATTTGTGGTGTACATGGCCAGTAATAACCGAGAATAACTTGAGATTCTGGGGATAATCGAGGATAACCAATGGATAACCGAAGATAACCAAATGATAACCGGGGATAACTAAGAAATAACTGGGAAAATGCAAGCGTATATATAAAATAAACTTAAAAGATTTTGGATATTTGGCAATGTTGGATATAGGTATTTGGTCGCTATTAGACAAATATATTAAAAGCGAGGGAATTTCACTGAGGATACTTGGTGTACCTTTGCCGGGGATAACTAGAGGATAACTGGAAAAATGCGAGCGTATACTATAAACTTTGAAGATTACATTTGGTAACGTTGTACAGGTATTCGGTCGCTATTAGACCAATATATTAACAATAAAAGGGGACCATATTCCAGCACATAGTTGAAAGATAACCGGGAAAAATAAGGAATAACCAAGGATAACCAGGAATAACAACGGATATTTCGGGAAGAACCAGGGATGACCTCGGGTAAAGGCGAGGGGGATTTCACTGAGGATACTTGGTGCATCTACATGGCTAGGGATAACCGGGTATAACTTAGAATTCTGGGGATGACTCGGGATGATAAAAGAGAAAAACCTGGGGGGATAACCAAATGATAACCGGGGATAACTAAAGGAGAAAATGCAAGCATAGAAGATTACATTTGGTAACGTTGGACAGGTATTCAGTCGCTATTAGACAAATATATAAAAAGGGTCCATATTCCACCAAATAGTTAAAGGATAACCGGGGACAACAGCGAATATCCGTGAAATAATCAGGTATAACCTCGGGTAAAAGTCAAAATTTGAAAAGTCTTCAGGCAAGTTTTCCAGCTATTCAAGAGCCGGTAATAATCAAAAATTGAAATAGAAAACTTGAAGGTAATAAAATTGAAGCTTCTGATGTTTTTGGATATTGTGATGCAGATTGAGCCAATGATCTAAATGTGTTAAAATATATTTTTTAAAAATGGTTTTCCCATCTCCTAAAATATTTAAAAGTAACTGAACACTCACTATGAAGGAAGCAAAGTATTATAGCCATGTCTTCAGCAATACAAAAGGGATTTTGGCTTGGAAATTTCAGTGTATCGATTCCTTGAAAAATAAGTTCCTCTAGCGAAAAAATCAATTTAATTTTGTGACACTTAATCCACGCCGCAAACACAGGATGTTCTTATTAACGGCGTCATATGTGGCCCTATATCAACAAAACCTAATTGCATGGAGGTTATTAAACTAAAGTACAGCAAAACGTTTGTGTAATAAACACCGGCATTATTAGATATAAGGACATACAATTTGTCAAAATTTGATCTGGTACCCTTATGGGTACCCAATAGATTTCCTTACACCCAGCAGGAGTAATTCAATAATAGGGGAGTAATTAAATCAATTAACAAATCACTATAAGATAATTGATTTCTCGTCGACAATAAGCCCAATAAAACAATCAACTTCTTAATTAGGTCGGATTGATTTTCAATGGACCGAAAACATTTTAATTAACTGATGACATTATTATTGAATATTTTGCTTTTAATAATAATTGATTTCTTATTGTTTTAGCTTGCGGGCGGGGGTGGCAGAGGTATGTTCTGTTACCATTGCCCGCCTTCTTTACACCCTGGAGCTCCTCAACCGAGATTACCAACGTTGGAATACCCTTTTACAGCTTCACATCCATGTAAGTATTCAACAAAAATCCTTTTGTCATTAATCATATTATCATCGTACCTAATTTTTATTTAGTTTACCAATTCCTCAGGGACTGAACCCCTAATAACAAACTTCGACAGCACATGCCATCCCCTATAGACAGAGGGGTAGATTTACTTATCGTATTAGTATGACTCGTAAAAAGGAATATTTTCGACAACCTGTGATTATTATCGAATAATCCCTCGTAATCCTCGCCGCGTTGATGGAGTAATGCTAGTAATTTTTCTCTATAATAGTTGCAAAGTAAGGGGAAGGTTTCTGCCTGTGTGTCAATTATTGTTGATACGGCAGCATTAATTAAAATCTCATGTAAATTGTATGTTTAATCTTATATAATCTGCTTTGTACCCCGCGAATTAAAACCGCGCACGCAAACATCGCGATTTCATGAAATATTTATCGGGATACGGAAAGTATTGATCCGCGGGTTATGACTTAAAAATTTACACAACAATAATTGTCTATGTAAATAGATCTTTTTGAATGAATAATTAACAAAGGTCCAGACAATAGGATGTTCTGGTTTTTGAGTTATTGTTAGAAATTGTAGAGATAAAAATCTATTACCGGCTCTTGAATGAAAAGAAATCAGAAAACTGATGATGGAGTGAATGGAGAAGATATCGAGACATTTGAAAAAGATCAATGGAAGGTGAAATAATAGTGAGTAATTTGAAGATGATGAAAACAGATCTTTAACTTTTCAATCAGTTATTTGGCCTTTCAAACCAAATCCCCAAAGCTTTTCTGTAATTAGTCTGTTGATCTTTCCTGACAAAATGTATGGAGAAAATGAGGACGAGAGATTTCAAGATGATGAGAACAAGTGAAAGGAATGAGGGAAGGAGATCTTTAACTTCTCAATCAGTTCTCTTATTATTTGGACTTCCAAACCAAATTCCCAAAGCATTTCTGTCATTGGTCTTTCTTGCTAAGATGTATAGAGATAATGAAAGCGACAGATTGCAAAATGATGAGAACAATCTAGAGAAATCAGATCTTCAACTTCTCAATCGATTCTCTTATCATTTGGCCGTCCAAACCGAATTCCAAAAGCTTGTCTGTCGTTGGTCTTTCTTGTCAAAATGTATGAAGAAAATGGCCTTCCAATTTCAATCAATACTCAAATCCAAAGACAAAAAGCTATGGTTTTCCACCCTCTTCAACTTCTGTGAATATTTTTTTAAATGTATTATTCCTCAATCTTCCCAGTTCTCAGAGTCTTCCTTTTTTCAGCTTCTTGTAAAGTTCAACTTCATCATTTGAAATCTTTTAAAGTTCTTCGAAGAGTTGTTTTCATACACCATCGCTTCATTACTGGCCCAGAAGCAACGATATTCAACTGATAATTGGTCAAAAATCACTTTTCTACTTCAATTCTTGGCATTCAGAGAGCCGGGAATAAAGTTTCACATTCATATTTCAGCATTAGGGCCGATTTATTCACCTTCTGCTAAACTGTCATTGTCAGGTATGCAATCTGGCGGATAAAAACACAATCTGTAATCCCATTGGTCAACCAGTAGAATTATTGACCGGGAAATTTATCTTGCAGATAGCTACCAGCAGAGCTGTCAGGTACTTCAAGAAAAATACTTAAGATTGGACTTCAAGTTCTTATAAGTACTTGAAATACAGTGGATAAACGGTACTTATACTTGATACTTGAACTGTTTTTAATAATGTTCTCTGCGTTGCACTTGAAGTACATAGTAGGTATATTGAAACGTACTTCAAGCATATGGAAGTACTTGAAATACATCAGAAATACTTTGTAGTATAATGAGTTAGAGTAGGAGGACAGAAAGCGGAACATCTGTTCTGACATTTTAGATAAGACCTCGAAAACCAGACAGAGCAGTTCATGTTTCATTGCAAGATCTTCAAAAGTTTACTTGAAGTACTTTATATTTCTAAATATTTAAAGTAACACAGGCATGAGAGGTTGTTATAATAAATGGAAAAATTTTCATGTATTTTATTTATGGAAAATACCCATTATAATGTATTTGAAGTAGTTACAAGTACTTTGTACTTGTACTCTAAGTACTTTGATAATGTTCTTGTGATAGCTCTGGTTACCAGCAAGTTTAGCTGAAGATGAATAAACCGGGCTTAGGTATATATTTGAGGTCTTGTTGTCAGGAAAACTTTTGAACTTATCTTACTGGCAATCAGAATAAATCAGGGGAAATTATCCATGATTTCTCCCAAAAACTTGGTGTACAAATTAAGGGAAATTAAGAGAAAATCCAAGCCAATCAGAGGAAATCATGAGGACACCAATAGGGAAGTCTTAAGAAACCCAGGGGAAATCTTACGGAAATCATGAAAAATCTTAAGGAAATCAGTCAATCTCTAGATCTAACGCATGCGCAGTTTCCAAAAATCGCATAATTTGAGGTTATGTTAGCAGGGAAACTCTTGGGCAATCATACTGGTAATCAGAAGAAATTAGGGGAAATCATGGGAAATCTAAGGCAATCAATGCAAATTATAAGGAAATTAAAGAAAATCCCGTAAATTTTGAGGAACTCGGGGAAAATCGAGGTGATCTTAAAGAAATTAGTCAATTTCTTAATCTAATGCATACGAAGTTTTCAAAAATCTTTATAATTTGAAGTTATGTGATCAAGGGACCTCTTGGGCAATCTTATTGGTAATAAGAAGAAGTCAAGGAAAATCATCCATAATTTCTCCCAAAACCGCAACCTGGTGTACAACTTCGGGTTAATCATGAGGAAATCCAAGGAAATCTAACGCAATCATGAAAAATCTAAAGGAATTAAGGGAAAATCTTAAAGAAATCATGGCAAATCCTAAGGAAATCAGTCGATCTCTAGATCTAACGCATACGCAGTTTTCAAAAATCGTTATAATTTGAGGTTATGTTATCAAGGAAACTTTTGGGCAATCTTACTAGTAATCAGAAGAAATCAGGGGAAGTCATCTAGATTTTTCCCAAAACTGCAACCTGTGTTGGAACTCTGTAACAGATAGAGATCGTTATCCCTATTGCTATGGCACTTGCTGTCTTGCAGATAGTTACCAGCAGGGCTGTCAGGTACTTCAAGAAAAATACTTGAGATTGGACTTCAAGCTCTTATAAATACTTGAAGTACAGTGAAAAAACGGTAATTATACTTGGTACTTGAACTGTTTTTAACAATGTTTTCTGCATTGCACTTGAAGTACATAGTATATTGAAAAGTACTTCAAGCATATGAAAGTACTTAAAATACATCAGAAATACTCTGTAGTATAATGAGTTAGAGTAGGTTCAGGTCAGAAAGCGGAACATCTGTTCTGACATTTTGGACAAGATAACCTCGAAAACAAGACAGAGCAGTTCATGTGTCATTGCAAGATCTTCAAAAGTTTACTCGAAGTACTTTATATTTCTAAATATTTAAAGTAACACAGACATTAGAGGTTGTTTTAATAAATGGAAAAATTGTCATGCATTATATTTATGAGAAATACCCATTGTATGTATTTGAAGTAGTTACAAGTACTTGGTAATTGAAGAACATTTGAGAAAAAAAATTACTTTGTACCTACTTCAATTGGGTACTTCTACAAAACTTTGAGTACTTTGTACTTGTACTCCAAGTACTTTAATAATGTTCTTGTGATAGCTCTGGTTACCAGCAAGTTTAGCTGAAGATGAATAAACCGGGCTTAGGTATATATTTGAGGTTTTGTTGTCAGGAAAACTCTTAAACTTATCTTACTGGCAATCAGAATAAATCAGGGGAAATTATCCATGATTTCTCCCAAAAACTTTGTGTACAAATTAGGGGAAATTAAGAGAAAATCCAAGGCAATCAGAGGAAATCATGGGGATACCAAGGAAAGTCTTAAGAAACTCAGGAGAAATCTTTAAAAAATCATGGAAAATCTTAAGGAAATCATTCAATCTCTAGATCTAACCGTATAATTTGAGGTTATGTTAGCAAGTGAACTCTTGAGTAATCAGAAGAAATTAAGGGAAATCTTGGGAAATCTAAGGCAATCAAAGGAAATCATAAAGAAATTAGAGAAAATCCCGTAAATTTTGAGGAACTCGGGGAAAATCTTAGGGTGATCTTAAAGAGATGAGTCAATTCCTAAATTTAATGCATGCGAAGTTTTCAAAAATCTTTATAATTTGAGGTTATGTTATCAGGGAAACTCTTAGGACAATCATATTAGTGATCAGAAGAAGTCAAGAGAGATCATCCATAATTTCTCCCAAAGCAATCTGGTGTACAAATTCCGGTAAATCAAGAGGAAATCCAAGGAAATCTAAAGGAAATCGTGGGAAATCCTAAGGAAATCAGTCGATCTCTAGATCTAACACATGCGCAGTTATAATTTGAGGTTATGTTATCAAGGAAACTTTTGGGCAATCTTACTAGTAATCAGAAGAAATCAGGGAAAATCATCCAGATTTCTCCCAAAACTGCAACCTGGGTTGAAAGTATGTATACTATTGCTATGGCACTTGCTGTCTTATTTTCTCTTTTCGAAATCAATAAAGAGGGGACAACAATAACAGAGAGAGAAAATATCTCTATTCGTTAGGTACAGAGTCCCAGCCCTCTGGTGTATAAACTAGGGGCAGGGCAAATTAAGAGGAAATCCAAGGCATGTAGAGGAAATCGCAAAGAAATCAGAGAAAATGAAGGAAAATCTTGAGAAGATAGAGATCATTAACCAAGAGATCAAGAGAAAATCCAAGACATCCAGAGGAAAACATAAAGAAATTAAGGGAAATCTTTAGGAATTTAGAGGAAATCTTAAGGAAATCATGAGAAATTTTCAGGAAATCTGGGCTGGGATTCTATAACGGATAGAGATCATTCCCATCGCTATGGCACTTGCTCTCTTTTTCTGTCTTTTCGAAATCAATAGAGAGGGGACGTCAATAGAGATAGAAGAAAATATCTCCATTCGTTTCAGAGTCCCAGCCCTGGTGTACAAATTAGGACAAATCAAGAGAAAATCCAAGACATCCAGAGGAAAAAATAAAGAAATCAAGGGAAATCTTTGGGAATTTAGAAGAAATCTTAAAGAAATCATGGGAAATTTTCAGGAAATCGGGGCTGAGACTCTATAACGGATAGAGATCATCATCCCCATGGCTATGGCACTTGCCTCTTCTTCTGTCTTTTCGAAATCAATACAGAGTGGACGTCAATAGAGATAGAGAAAATATCTCCATTCGTTACAGAGTCCTAACCCTTCTGTACAAATTAGGGCAAATCAAGAGGAAATCCAAGGTATGCAGAAAAAATCATAAAGAAATCAGAGGAAATCAAGGTGAAATCTTGAGGAACTCAGAGGAAATCTCAAGGAAATCTGGGCTGGGACTCTGTAACGGATAGAGATCGTTATCCCCATCCCTACGGCAATTGCTATCTTCTTCTCTCTTTTCCAAATCAATATAGAGGAGGAGTCAATAGAGATAGAGAAAATATTTCCATCCGTTACAGCCCTGGTGTACAAATTAGGGCAAATCAAGAGGAAATCCAATACATGCAGAAAAATCAGAGGAAATCAAGGGGAAATCTTAAGGAACTCGAAGGAAATCATGGGCTGGGACTCTGGAACGGATAGAGAATATTATCCATATCACTTAGGCACTTGCTCTCTTTTTCTCTCTTTTCGAAATCAATAGAGAGTGGACGTCAATAAAGATGGAGAGAATATTTCCATATGTTAAATTGTTATAGAGTCCTAGCCCTCGTGAACAAATTAGGGCAAATCAAAAATAAATCCAAAGGCATGCAGGAGAAATCATAAAGAAATCAGAAGAAATAAAAGGAAATCTTAAGGAACTCATAGAAAATCCTAAGGAAATCAAGGGATATCTTGAGGAAATCTGGGCTGGGACTCTGTAACGGCGGGGACAGGATAAATTACTCTAAATTATAGCAGTCGGAGCACCGGGAATAGAGTTTTTATGTTTTTCTAATGCAATTGAACCGCTCTAGGGTAATTTTAACTCTTATTAACTGGTTAAAAAACCAGTTTTACTCAGATTGAATTCAAAATCCACTACCAGAAGCTTTGGAAGAAAGTTGATTAACAACTTCTACTCTCGAGAAATAATTTGATGGAGGGGAGTTTAACCCAATAACCCAAGTCCAAATTGGAGAAGATGGTTCAAAAACCATTAACAAAACTGCACAAAACAACCCAATTCCAAAATAATAATTTTTCCTTTGATTGAATAGCTGAATTTCCACATTTCCCTTGCAACACAAAATCCGCCGCTCAATTTCCCAAAATAAAACGGGAAAATGTATTGTTTCGACGAGATTATTCGCTCGTTTCATTTTCAATCACCAGCTGCTATCAGTTGTCAACCGAAATTACTTTTCGATTTGCTATTCCATTTGAAAAACCGATCCGGAAGCTTTATCCCCTGGCAAATTCAATAAAATCCAATATTTAACGGTGTTTGTATTTTATGATATTTTTTCAGTATTTGGCCAGTAATTTTCGAACAATAGGAAGAGGCGTCATTCCATTCGTACAAACGTATAATCATTCACAAAGAACGCGAATTATACTAACCTTTTAACCTGCGAAGTTACGTGACTGAAAATTAAGGCTCGGCATAAGGAGTAATTTCTTAATTTTTGCCTCACTCGAAAAAACTTTTTATCGGGACGTCTAAAGCGATTAGGGACGAAGTTCACACACACATAACTTCTGGAAACTTTCAAAGTAGATTTGGACGTGTTAGAGTAAACCGCGTTAGGATTATTGAGTTTCGAGCCAGGAAAAATTATGTTTTTCTTTTTGCAGATACCAGTTATTCTTACCATCCGGCAATCCATGATGATACGTTTGTAAGGAGGAAACAAAGAAGGAATCGGACTACGTTTACATTACAACAGGTAATGGTTTATTGTATTAGGCTTGGTTCCTACGTCACCGTATTGTAACAACGTAGCGTCAAATATTCTCACATTGAAACTGCAATAATTTATTTTCTCTTTAGTTGGAAGAATTGGAAAGCGCCTTTGCACAAACCCACTATCCTGATGTATTTACGAGAGAAGATTTAGCAATGAAAATCAATTTAACAGAAGCAAGAGTACAGGTAAGAATTTTTTATTATATTTTTCATCGCCAGCCCCCGAGCAACAGAAGTGTGGTGTGTATTAGATTGCACCGGCAATTAGTGCAGGGCTAATGAGCCTCTCCGGACACAATTACCCTCGTCACGCTTCTCACCCTTTTCAATTCGTATATACACGGTCCTCTTGCTTTGTTTCGGGTGCAGTTTCTAGTGTTTGTTTTGCTCCGGGCTCTATTTCGGAGCCGAATAGAGCGTTAAACAATTCGTTTTCGTGCGCATTGTTTTAAGAGGACACTCGACACTCAAGACAATAGTTTTTTTTTTTAATCAGGGGAATACAAAGGGACAAATTAATGTTTTTAGTTTGTTTTAAGGGTGATACAAATTATGTTTGTATGTATTTTGTTGGTAATTTTAGTTGGACGTTGGCAAAATCTCCGTTAGAGACTTCAATTCTTGATAGGTCTGTTTCAGCAGAAATCACAAACCAGTCAAAGTGAATTTCATTGGTTGAAACTAGTTTTCTGATTGTTTCTGACGGTTTTCAACCAATGAAATTCGCTCCGACTGGTTTGTGATTTCTGCAGAAACAGACCTATTGTAAAATTTCAAGTGGTCTTCTTTTGGAAGTTGTGGAAATCCTTTTTAATTTTTTGATCTTTTCAATGAAACGTCTAACATTAATATTTTTCTACAATTTTCTAGTTTAATTTTACTAGGATCAAATTTGCATTTTTTGGACCGCTCTGGCCCAATGTTAACACGATTTTATGTCTGCAACTATAAGTCCAAATGAGCTAAAATTTTCAAGGATTGTAGTCCTCTACCCCAAACTTCATACACTAAATTATTCTGAGATTTGGAGCCGAATTCTATGAAAAAAGGCACTCAGAAACATTGAAAAATTGATAAATCACCCCAAATTGCTTAACACGATTTTATCTCAGAAACTATAAGTCCAAATGAGCTGAAATTGTAGTCCTCTATTGGGACAAAAGTCGCTAAAAATTTCAGCTTTCTATCTTTAATAGAAAAAAAGTTATGACCTATCAAATTTTTCCAAAATCTAAATCATAAGGTAGCCTTCTTACTAAAACGATGAAATTACAATTTTTTTTTTTGTTGAGATATTGTGTCCTAATGGTCATTTGGGATCCCCCAAACTCCATACACTAAGAAAAATTGAAAAATTGATAGATCACCCCAAATTGCTTAACTCGATTTTATCTCAGGAACTATATCTAAGTTCAAATGAGCTGAAATTTTTAGGGATTGTAGCCCCTTTATTGGGATAAGATTCAGTGAAAGTTTCAGCTTTCTATCTATAATAGAAAAAAAGTTATGACCTTTCAAAGTTTTCCAAAATCTAAATCATAAGGTAGGTACCTTCTTACTAAAACGATGAAATATCAAATTTTTTTTTGTGGAGATTTTGTGTCCTAATGGTCATTTGGGATCCCCCAAACTCCATATACTAAATTATTCTCAGATTTGAAGCCAAAATTCATGAAAAAAGGCACTCAGAAAAATTGAAAAATTGATAAATCACCCCAAATTGCTTAACCGGATTTTATCTCAGGAACTATAAGTTCAAATGAGCTGAAATTTTCAGGGATTGTAGCCCCTTTATTGGGATAAGATTCAGTGAAAGTTTCAGCTTTCTATCTATAATAGAAAAAAAGTTATGACCTTTCAAAGTTTTCCAAAATCTAAATCATAAGGTAGGTACCTTCTTACTAAAATGATGAAATTTCAAATTTTTTTTTGTGGAGATTTTGTGTCCTAATGGTCATTTGGGATCCCCCAAACTCCATATACTAAATTATTCTCAGATTTGAAGCCAAAATTCATGAAAAAAGGCACTCAGAAAAATTGAAAAATTGATAAATCACCCCAAATTGCTTAACCGGATTTTATCTCAGGAACTATAAGTTCAAATGAGCTGAAATTTTCAGGGATTGTAGCCCCTTTATTGGGATAAGATTCAGTGAAAGTTTCAGCTTTCTATCTATAATAGAAAAAAAGTTATGAACTTTCAAAGTTTTCCAAAATCTAAATCATAAGGTAGGTACCTTCTTACTAAAACGATGAAATTTCAAATTTTTTTTTGTGGAGATTTTGTGTCCTAATGGTCATTTGGGATCCCCCAAACTCCATATACTAAATTATTCTCAGATTTGAAGCCAAAATTCATGAAAAAAGGCACTCAGAAAAATTGAAAAATTGATAAATCACCCCAAATTGCTTAACCGGATTTTATCTCAGGAACTATAAGTTCAAATGAGCTGAAATTTTCAGGGATTGTAGCCCCTTTATTGGGATAAGATTCAGTGAAAGTTTCAGCGTTCTATCTATAATAGAAAAAAAGTTATGACCTTTCAAAGTTTGCCATAATCTAAATCATAAGGTAGGTACCTTCTTACTAAAACGATGAAATTTCAAATTTTTTTTTGTGGAGATTTTGTGTCCTAATGGTCATTTGGGATCCCCCCAAACTCCATATACTAAATTATTCTCAGATTTGAAGCCAAAATTCATGAAAAAAGGCACTCAGAAAAATTGAAAAATTGATAAATCACCCCAAATTGCTTAACCGGATTTTATCTCAGGAACTATAAGTTCAAATGAGCTGAAATTTTCAGGGATTGTAGCCCCTTTATTGGGATAAGATTCAGTGAAAGTTTCAGCTTTCTATCTATAATAGAAAAAAAGTTATGACCTTTCAAAGTTTGCCATAATCTAAATCATAAGGTAGGTACCTTCTTATTAAAACGATGAAATTTCAATTTTTTTTTTGTGGAGATTTTGTGTCCTAATGGTCATTTGGGATCCCCCAAACTCCATATACTAAATTATTCTCAGATTTGAAGCCAAAATTCATGAAAAAAGGCACTCAGAAAAATTGAAAAATTGATAAATCACCCCAAATTGCTTAACCGGATTTTATCTCAGGAACTATAAGTTCAAATGAGCTGAAATTTTCAGGGATTGTAGCCCCTTTATTGGGATAAGATTCAGTGAAAGTTTCAGCTTTCTATCTATAATAGAAAAAAAGTTATGAACTTTCAAAGTTTGCCATAATCTAAATCATAAGGTAGGTACCTTCTTATTAAAACGATGAAATTTCAATTTTTTTTTTGTGGAGATTTTGTGTCCTAATGGTCATTTGGGATCCCCCAAACTCCATATACTAAATTATTCTCAGATTTGAAGCCAAAATTCATGAAAAAAGGCACTCAGAAAAATTGAAAAATTGATAAATCACCCCAAATTGCTTAACCGGATTTTATCTCAGGAACTATAAGTTCAAATGAGCTAAAATTTTCAGGGATTGTAGCCCCTTCATTGAGATAAGATTCAGTGAAAGTTTCAGCTTTCTATCTATAATAGAAAAAAAGTTATGACCTTTCAAAGTTTTCCAAAATCTAAATCATAAGGTAGGTACCTTCTTACTAAATCGATGAAATTTCAAATTTTTTTTTGTGGAGATTTTGTGTCCTAATGGTCATTTGGGATCCCCCAAACTCCATATACTAAATTATTCTCAGATTTGAAGCCAAAATTCATGAAAAAAGGCACTCAGAAAAATTGAAAAATTGATAAATCACCCCAAATTGCTTAACCGGATTTTATCTCAGGAACTATAAGTTCAAATGAGCTAAAATTTTCAGGGATTGTAGCCCCTTCATTGAGATAAGATTCAGTGAAAGTTTCAGCTTTCTATCTATAATAGAAAAAAAGTTATGACCTTTCAAAGTTTTCCAAAATCTAAATCATAAGGTAGGTACCTTCTTACTAAATCGATGAAATTTCAAATTTTTTTTTGTGGAGATTTTGTGTCCTAATGGTCATTTGGGATCCCCCAAACTCCATATACTAAATTATTCTCAGATTTGAAGCCAAAATTCATGAAAAAAGGCACTCAGAAAAATTGAAAAATTGATAAATCACCCCAAATTGCTTAACCGGATTTTATCTCAGGAACTATAAGTTCAAATGAGCTAAAATTTTCAGGGATTGTAGCCCCTTCATTGAGATAAGATTCAGTGAAAGTTTCAGCTTTCTATCTATAATAGAAAAAAAGTTATGACCTTTCAAAGTTTTCCAAAATCTAAATCATAAGGTAGGTACCTTCTTACTAAAACGATGAAATTTCAAACTTTTTTTTGTGGAGATTTTGTGTCCTAATGGTCATTTGGGATCCCCCCAACTCGATATACTAAATTATTCTCAGATTTGAAGCCAAAATTCATTCAAATTTTTCCAAAATTCAATTCATAAAGTAGCTATTTAGACGGCAATGGCCGCAACAACAATTAGGTCTGAAGTCGAGGGCACTATAGAATTTCGGGAAAATACTTCTTATACCCAGATGGAAACGGAAAAAATCAGAGTCCACATGGAAGCTCCACAGTTTGATGGAAAGGCTTCTTGGAATAATGATCATGAGTTCACAGATAAGATGAAAATGTTGATTTTTACGTTGTCAAAGCATTTAAACAAGAAGCAAAGGGAACATTTGAAGGACCTATTACGACAGTTCAGCAATGTTTTTGATACTGGACAAGGAGGAAAGTAGTACAACATGAAACCAACACTGGGAATGCACCAGTGTTGCCAATCTGAATTTGTAAAATTACACGATATGCTGGTCAAATTAGACGTTTTTACACGCTGTCAGTCTCACTATTACACGATTTTTACACACGACCTTACTACCCATTGTGTATAACGTCAAGAAGCAAGTATAATTTTTTTTCTGATTTATGATTTTGGGAAATGGGTAAAATCCAGTCGAATCTGAGGCTTATGGCTGTTTCCACCAACTATTTTGGGAAGCCCTAACGATAAGTATTCCCTAAAATGACATTTTTACATGAACAAATGTCAATTTAAGGCATACCTATCGTTATGGCTCGAGAGCTCCCCTAAAATAGTTGGTGGAAGTGGCCATTAATGCTCCTGATCATCGCTCAAATTCAAAATAACTTCTTGAACCTTAAAATCTTGTTAAAATCACC